AGTGGTGAAGAAAATTGTAAAAAAAAGGGGAGCAAAGAGAAGAGTGGGTGAATGTTATCAAAAAAATTTTTTGTTGAAAAAAAAGAAAAAGTTTTGGGAGTGAGATTAACAATTTTAAGAAAGCCTAAGATAAAATGGTTTTGGGTCATTTAAAAAAATGGGAAAGGGGAAAGAGTTTTTAAAGGGAGAGTTAGGGTATTGGGAAGATGGAAGGAATATTTTGGGGAAATTGTTTAAATGTTGATAAAGAAAAGGGACCTGGGGGTTTTTCCCGGTGTTGGGGAAAAGGAAATAACTTTCTTGTGGGGAGTGAGGAAGAGCCATTGTGAGTGGGGGGGGAAAGTTCGTGAGGCGTGGGTAAAATGAAAGGGGGAAAGGGCCACCCGGGATTGATGGGATAAAAAATAAAATTTTAAAAAAACAGGTGGGGATATTTTTTTGGGGAGGGGTTTGGGTGCAAATTTTTTTAAATTAAATTTTAATGGAAGAGGGAAAGGTACCTAGGGTTTGGGCAGAGAGCATGCATACCCCCTTTGAATAAAGGCAAAGGGGAAAAAGAGAGTGAAAAAAATTAAAGGGGGGAAATAAGTCTTTGAGTGTACCGGGGTAAATTTAATGGTAAGTTATAATTGAAAGGGAATTAAGAGTAAGACGGGGGAATTTGGGATAGCAGATGAAAAAGGAAAGGGGCTTTGGGAAAGGTAGGGGGTGGGGTGGACCGGTTTTTTACAGGGGAAACATATAAGTAAAAAAGAAATTTAAAAAGGGTTTAAAGGGGTTTTTGGGTGGCTTTTAGGTTTTGGGGAAAAAGGCGTAGGGCCCAGGGTGGATAGGGGGGCAATGTGGCAGATTTTAAAAAAGTGTATGGTGTAGGGGTATTTTTATGAAAGCAGTGAAGGGGTTTTTACGAGGATATTGAGGCTCAAGTTAGAGTATGTAGGAAAGAGGGAAATTTTTTTTCCCGTAAAATAGGCCTTAGAAAAAGGGAATGTGTGATGTCCCGGGGGTTGTTTAAATATTTATAGATGGGGTTGAAGAGAAAAAAAATGCGGGGGTTTTGGGAAAAGAGGCGTGGAGTTAAAAGATAAAAAAACCCACAACAAAGTGGGATTTTGCCCCACAGCTGCTCTTTGTGAGGGACACTGGCTCTTGGGAGATTTTAAGAGAATTTGCAGAATTGGGGGGATAAAATTTTGGAAAGGGGTGAAAAAGAAGAAAAAAAAAGGTAATTCAGGAAAGAGAAAGGTTAGGGGAAATAAAAAAAAAAGGATTGGGTTGATGAAAGATTGAATATCTTTTTGGAGGGAGGAGTTTTGGAGGGGGGGGAACGTATTCAAAATTTTTGGGGAAGGGGGGGACGTCCCAGCGGATGGGGTCTATGAAAGATAGGTGAATCATGGGAATTGATGGGGGGAAAAAAAAGTGAGTGGTGCATTTTGGAGTCTGGGGAAAACCCAAAGAATTTTGCCCTTTGGGAAAGGAAAAAGAGGGGAATTATGGGGTATTTTTTTAACCAACCGCTCTTTTTATGGGTTTTGGAAGCGGGGGTGATAAAATTTTTGGCCGGCGAGGAAAAGGGCTGGGGGCATGGAGTTTCATGCCCTGGGGGGGAAATTGTTTGGTGTGAATTTTAATGAAAGAGAATTCGTAGTTTGGAAGTTAGGAGGAGGTGGGGGTTTAAACCAAAAAACTTTTTTGCCCCAGAGGGCTAAAGGAAGGGGTTTTGTTGAGGGGTTGGGACATGTGGGAGAAAATGGAGCAAAAAACAAAAAAGATTTTCAAGAGTTTTAATCGTCTTTTGGGGAAAGGAAGGGGGGAAGGGGTCGGGCCTAGGAAGGGTTGGGGGGAGGGGGTAAAGGAGGTTTTGGGTGGCGAGGGGCTTGGGATTTCCAGCGGGAAATGCGTGAGGTTTTTTGATAAGTAAATTTGGAGAAAAAGGGTTTTTAATATTTGGGACGTGGGTTGGAGTGTGAGCAAAGTAAATTTTAATAAAAGGGTTCGGGGAAAACCCCGCGGGCCCGGGCCCTTGAGCCCCGGGGAGGGGGGAAGTCCCATGCCTGCACCCTAAAGGAGGGGTGTTAATTTTGCATTTTTAAAAAACTGTAGTTTTTAAAAGCCCCCTTTTGGGGCAAGCCCAGTGGGGAGGGGAATGAGGGGGTGAAATTTTTTTTCTTTTTGGGGCCCCCTCCCTTTTGGGGGGAAATTGGGCCGGGTGATAATAAAAAAATAATAAAAAAAAAATTATTATATATAAATTTTATTGTGTGGGTGTTGTGTGGGTGTTTTTGTGGTTTTGTGTTGTTTTGTGTGTGTGTGTGCGTGTGGTGTGGGTGGGGGTTGTGTGTGTGTGTTGTGGGGGTGGGGGTGTGTGTGTGTGTGGGGGTTTACCTACCTAATTTTTTCCCCAATTGTATTGCGGGGGTTTCGTGACTCAGCTCTTGGCCCCCCCTCTTCACTGATGCTGAAAGGGGGCCCTCTCTCTCTCTTCTTTGAGCTTTTTTTCTTTACCCCGTCTTAAAGCAATGAGGGTTTCCTCCTACCCCTACATCCTTCCCAAAAAACTTTTTTCCATTTCCGGGAAAAACTCTATGACGGGGAAGGAAGTACTTCCTAAAAATTCCCTTTGATTTGTCTGAGTTTTCAGTTTCCCAAGTTGTGCCCCCTTTTTTTCTGTTTTCCCCCATCTAAACTTCCTGTCTCTGTCCACCTTATCTTTTTCCCCACGCAGTGTTTTTTATGTCGTTTTTAGGGTTCCCCCTCTATTTTCTCCGGCCTCCGGGCGTCTTTGGGCCAAATTTCCCTTTAAACCCTTTCTTCGTGGGGGACTTTCCCCCGGGTCAAGAACTAAACCCTTTTGAAAACCCTTTTTCCAATTTTCTAATTTTTTGACGTGTTCGACCAGGTGTGGGGTTCCAAATGGTGCGGCATACTCCAGTAGGGGCCTATTTTAACACAGTGTAAAGAGCCTTGAAGGTTCCTTATTTAATTTTAAACGAAATGCTTTTCAGGTTTGCGGGCCGCCCATTTTGGCCGAAAGCCAGTTATCTGGTTGATGTGGGGCCTTTCCGGAGACACCTCGGGTTATGCCACCCCAAAAAACCTTTCTCCTTGAGTGGGGTTTTTGCATTTTTTGGGCTATTAAAACAGGAAAAAAAAAATTCCTTTTAAACCTTAATGAAAGGGAAAAGGGAAAAGAAGCAGAAACAAACCCCGGGCTGAATGATTTTTGAATTATTTTTTTCCCTTCACCATGCTTTTATAATTATTTACAGTATGTACTTTATCCCTTTTTGGGAAAAATATATGTGCAAAAAACACAGTAAATAAAAGGGGCAAAGCTTTTTCGGGGAGACAAAAAACGGAAAAACCATTTTCAAGCAGCTCTGGGAATGGAAAGGGACAAGGGGGGGAAACTGATTGGGGGCCCACCACCTCCACAATTGCCAGCCCCACTTTCTCTTTGGGTTGAACCTAGAAACTGATCTCAAGGGGGCTCCATCTTCCACCCTTTACACCCATTTCGCTGGGGGGGGGGAATTTGGTTTTTGAGTTTTTACACACCGAAAAAAGGTTAAAATTACTCTTATTTTCCACTTTTGGCCCCTGGGCCTAACTCTGTCCGGTTTTTTCCCTTGCCCTTTCCCCCCCAATCTTCAGGGATTTTTTGTTTTATGTTTGTGTGTGTTTTTTGTTTTGTTTTGGTGTGTGTGGTGGGTTTTGTGTGGGGTTGTGTGAAAAGAAAAGGCACGGGGGGGTTTGGGGGTTTTTTAGTAAAGGGTTACTTTTCACGCTTCTCCAGTGCGTCTTTCAAGAGCAATGCAAAGTTTTTTAAGAATAGAAACCTGAAGAAATGAATTTTTTCCAGATGGGGTGGGTTTGGGGGGCCCCCAGCCCCAGTTTTCTCCCCAAGAATATGAGGAAACCGGCGGGACTGCCACCCACCCAACCTAGCACAAACCTCACATGGGATGGGGTTAAACATGGGGCCCCCCGGTTTTACAGAAACGGGAAACAGAAAAAAAAATGTAAAACCAATCCTAAAAACTTCTTTTTAAAAGGGCCGGGTAAAAAAAGTCATGTGACATAAGAAAATTATTTCAATAGGGGATGATCACATGCGGAAAGCTGCTTATTATTTTATAAAAATAAATGAGGGTCATTTGTCACTTTAAACCCCAAGGGGACCGGGGGATTCTTGGGAAAGTTTCCCAGGGAAAAAAAAATCGGTTTGGGTTTTATCATATTTTCCCTACAATTTTTGCCTACCAATATTCCTTCGTATCGATTAATAGGGCTTTTTTTATTTGTGGGTTTTTCGATAAAATTTCGATAAAATTCTGATAAAAATTCCCATAGTATTCCATTCATGAATTTTTGCATTTTTCTTTAAGTTCCCCTTAAAAAACCTAACTCTGTAATCACTAAGGGGGTTACAGTCACCCTTTTTACAGGGCAGCAATTGGGTTTGTTCCCTTTTAATGGGCCCCCATGGTGGGGGGCTTAAACCCCCCATGGGGGCCGCCCAAACCCCGATTTAAATTTACCCAAAACCCAAAGGGGTTTTGTCCCCAAAAAGGGAAAAATTTAATTTTTTTTCCCCTTTTCTTGGAAAAAATGAAAAGGAATACTGGTTTTATAAAAAAATTTTAAACTCAAATTTTTTGGGGTGTCAGTTTGGTGACTAGTTTTCCTGCCCTTTATCCCCTTTGAATAAGTCAGAAAAAAGTTAAATTTTGCTGCGGCAATTTCATTTTCTGGTTGCCTTAAGGGGAAAAAGTGGGAAATTTTTACTTACCCGAGGCCTTTTTCTTTCAAAAAAAGTTTTGGGGGTTTTTTTTTTCTCCCCCGACTTTTACTCTGTTTCCCGGGAATCTTTGCCTTTCCCCCCATTTTTATAACATTTTTAAAGTTTAATGAAATTTAAACCCCCTAGAAAAATTTTAGAGATAAAAAAAGGTGGGGCCCAAAAATTATTGCATTAAAATATTACAATTTCTCAGCCGCAATAGCTGGCGTGGGCCCGGCATCCTCCTTGGGGACACTGGCTGGGGGAAACCCGGGCCAAAAAGTTTTCCATGTAAACCAAAAAAAGTGTGTCTGGCGCCATTTCCCCGGCCCCTTTTTTCGGTGTTTTTCTTGCTGGATTGTGCACCCTGGGTTTAGGGACTAAGGTTTTAAAAAAAAAATTATTTTAAAAAAATTATAATTCATTACAAAATTTTTTGAGTGGGGACGAAGGTAAAAGCTTTAGGGGTAAAAAAAATGTCTTTAAACCCCCTTTAGTGAGAGACGAAAAGGGGGCTTTAAATGAAGGTAAAACAAAGTCTTATTTAACCCCTTTGAGTGAGAGACGAAGTAGACTGAGTGGAAGGTAAAAAAAAATGTTTAAAAAAAAACCCCTTGAGTGAGAGCCCAAGGAAAAAGGGTGAGTGAAGGGAAAAACAATGGGCTTTAACCACTTTTTGAATGGGTTTAGAGTTTAGAGAAGTTTAAATTAAAAATTTTTCAAAAAAATTTCATTATTTTTTTTCTTTAAAATTTTCATCGTTTCTTTAAACTGGGGTAACATTTTCAAAAGTAAACCCAAAATAAGAAACCCCCTCAGAGTGGTTTTTTTAATTTTTTTTTTTTGGGGGTTTCTTTTGAATCATATCTAGTATACTAAAGTTTGTGCCCAATAGGGAAAAAATTAGATTTTTGACTTTAAAAAAGCAAAAGCCTTTTTGGCCGAATAAAGGGAAGTGAGAATTTGTGGATGGAAAAATTTCCCCAAAAAATCTTTGAATCTAAAAGAAAAAAAAAATATTTCCTTTTTTGTTTATTAAAATTATTGTAAACCCTTTTTCTAAAAAATTAAATTTTTTTTGGGTTAAAGGGGCCCAAATTAAAATTTTCGCTTGTTTAATTAAACTTTAAAGGTAAATTTTCTAAGGTCCTTTTTTACAAAATTATTAAATTTTACATTAACATAAATGGAAAAAAAAATTATTTTTGAACGTATAATAGGAAATTTTAGCAAGGACTTAATTTTAAATGAGTTCTTGCTAACTGACCAATTTTACCTCCTCTGCACGACATATATAAATACATATACATGTTACACAGGGGGCTGTGGCGGGTTTCGTCACGGCTTTCGTTTACAACATATGGCTGGTGATTGGCAAGTTTGTACGTGGTGGAGGATCACCACCACGATTACCCTTGTCCACCTCGGGATGTCCGGAGAACCTGGCAAACAATACTAACTCTACCCTCGTGACTCTGCTTACCAGAGCATCAAGCAGCGCTCTGCTTCCCAACCTTACTACTACTCCTCGGTTAGTTAAAGTTCAAATATTTTAGTTAATAACAAACAAGTCTTTCAGTGTATGTTTTTAGCAGAACTTTTTCTGACTATCATAATTACGTTCAGTTTATAAGATTCTGTTCACAAGTGATCATTGAAACAGAGGAAAGATATACCTAGACTATACCTGGAGAAGGATTCGGAGGTCAACGCCCCCACGGCCCGGTCTGAAACCAGGTCTCGTTTTGGATCAGGGCCTGATCAACCAGGCTGTTACTCCTGGTCGCATGTAAACCGACGTAAGAATCACAGTCCGGCTGATCAGGTACTGTCTTTGGGTGCCTGTCCAGCGTCTTCTCGATGATAGCCAAGGGTCTATTGATAATCCCCCTTAAGTATGCTGGGAGGCAGTTGAGTAATCTTGGGCCCCTGACACTTATTGCGTTGTCTCTTAGTGTACTCGTGGTGCCCCTGCTTTACAATTGGGGAATGTTGCATCTCCTGCCTTCCCACAAATGCATTTGTGGTCACAGTGGTGCCTATGCTAACCTTCCTATGGTGTAGAAATATACCTAGTTGGACGAATCTTATAGTGGCTATCTGGTCCAGTGGCTAACGCGACGGTCTGGAGTTTTGAGACTCTCTGACCGCGGGTTCTATCCCACCCGTGGTATGGTTTATACTCTAATGGGATCTGAAACCAGACCTGCGCCCCCCAACAACTACAAATAGTCACACTGGGATGGCCCAGTAGTGAAAAATATAGACTTAACAATGCTTCAGAGTGTCGGGGAAGGATAGAGCCGCCTTCTGGTAGTGAGAGCTCCTTATGCAAGGGACTTTCTGTTAGCTGTTCACAACTCCAGCCTTGGCACACGCTTTGATCTACAGACCATACGCATTGGTGTTGCCTTTCGACTTGCCGTTCCTATTCTCTCCGAATACAAGTGTAATTGCGGCAGTGAATCGGTAAACCGATTCCGGTATCATGGTCTTATGTGCCGTAGATCCAAGTGAAAGATTGCAAGGCATGAAGAGGTTAATAACATCAAGAAGAGCCTCGCAACAGCCGTATGCTCAGCAATAGGATACCCCCCCCCATATGCAGATCAGATGGTAACCAGAAGTGCCCAGTGGTATCACCCTTCAATCATGGACAGACGGCAAGCAGGTGGTGTGGGACTATACATGTGCATCTACACTGGCTGATACCTATCGTCAATGCACCATTATTATTATTATTATTATAATCAGGGGGAGGCGCTAAACCCGGAGGTTTATACAGCGCCTGGGGGGGGGGGATGTGGAAGGCATTCAGGCTTAATTTGGGGAACTGGAGCACAGATCTAATTCCCTAAATCAAGAGCCCCTCACCAACATCAAGGAACCTTCCTTGAGAGGTCAATGCACCAGCGAGAAAGGAGGGGCAGCTGCCAGCTTTAGGGAGTCCCAAAAGTCTATAAAATACAGTGAACGTGCTCATCATTATATATTCGTTCCAATAGGTTCAGAGACTCTTGGACCATGGGGAAAGAGTGCATATCTAAGGAGCTAGGCAAAAGACTCATCAGGGTTGCTTGGGATCCAGTGTCTCAGCGCTGCGGTTCAGAGGGGTGACGCCTGCTGGGTACCCGCCTCAGCTCTGAGCAGCTGGACCAGATTTTTTAATTTAAATCTGTGATAAACTTGTAGCAATATGCACCTGAAATCTCTCCCTCAAACCTCTTGTATTACATATACCATCTTCGTACCAGCAATGTATCTTTTAAATATTGTGTACCTTATTATGTAATAAAATATGCCTATTAGTTAAAAAATTGAAAGATGGGGTGGCAGGGGAAGTGGAATATTCAAATAACTTCAGAAGAAATCAAAATATTTTTCCGGAAAAATTTTTTATCCATTTTTCTCCGAGTATGGGCCCCCAATAATATTTTTACCGAAAAGGGGAAAATTTTCCCAATTACAAACGAAAATTTGGTATCAATAATTTTTCAAAAAATCATTCTGAACCTAGACGAATAAATGCATTTCATTGTATTGTTATATTATTGAATTTTTGTCAACTTACCTGAAATATATTTATCGATTAGGCTAAATTAAATTGCGCTTGTTATAACATGTCCTTGGTAAATTTTCTCTCCTCTCTCTCACTCTCTAAACATTATATAAAATATATAGTATAAATATATAGATAATATAATATATTTATATATATATATATAGATATATAAATATATATAATATTAATAGACATATATATATATAATATATATATAACATATATATAAGTAGTGCTGAAGGCGGCTGAGCGGTCCATGCAGCGAGCGTCTCTTCTACAGAGTGGTCTCCTCTCGAAAGGTCTGCGGCTGAGCGGTCTCCTCCCCGAAAGGTCTGCGGCTGAGAGGGGCGGTCACCTACCGCGCCCGCGCGCTCCGCGCCCCCACCCGAGCGCCAGCCCGTCCGCGCCGACCCGAGACAATGACCTCAAATACCCACTGCCACCTCACCATCTTTATCTATCCCCTCTACCCCACCTCCCCTCAACCTCCGCCACCCACGCCCCGCATCCTTGAGCCCCGCGCGACGCCCGCGCCGCGCGACCCGTGCCCGCCCTCGCGCCGCCCGCGCCTTCTACAGCGTCGTCCAGATTGCCCCCACGCCCCCCCAAAATTTTTTTCTTCCGATTTTTTATAAAATGATTTTTTTAATTTCTTGTGCTCTTCCATTCCATCGATCAAGTTATTTCTCGAAATCAGTTATACTAAGACGCCAACTCCTCGATCAAACACCCTCTAAACCATATAATTCTCTCCACTTCCTTTGTATTCCCCCTATGGGGTTTCGAATTTCTTATGATCTCTCGGATAACACTCCCCCCACTCTCCCACCACCCACTTCTACCTCAAATAATCCCTGCTTACGTCCCTTGGAATCAAGTTTTTTCTCGATATCAATAATACCAAGACTCCATCCGTCCTTGATTCTCCCCTCTGGGTAAGCATTCCAAAATGGACTCCCACTTTCAACCTCAAATATTCCTGCTTTACGTCCATGGACAAGTTTTTCTCGATATCAATAATACCAAGACTGCCATCTCCACGGATCAAATATTTTGGTGTTCCCCCTTATGGGGGTTTCGAAATTCGTATGATCCCTCGGATCACAACTCCCACCACCCACTTCTACACCCCAAGTAATTCTCCTTACTCCATCTCCTTGGGTCAAGTTTTTTCTCGATAAAACAAAGAGCTCCATCCCTTGTTCGAAGTTTTTTGGATTCCCCCGGTTGTGGTGTGTAGAAGCTTCAAATGGACTCGCCACTTGCCATCCCAAATTCCCCTGCTCCAGTTCTCGGATCAAGTTTTTCCCTCGATATCAATAATACAAAGATTATCCTCCCACACCTCCCACCATCACTTTCTACCTCGAAATATGTCCTGCGATCTACTTCCTTGGACAAGTTTTTCCTCGATATCAATAATACAACAAAGACTCCACCCTCCTCGAATCAAGTTTTTGATTCCCCCCTCTGGGTAAGCATTTCAAAATAGACTCACCACTTGCATCCAATTCCCTGCCAATTCCTCGGATCAAGTTTTCTTTTCTCGATTATGCAGGTCATCTTCAAATGAACTCCCCCTATGGGGCATGGTACTTTCTCTTATTACATGTTCTAAATCAAGATGAATGTCACCCCCACCTGGTGTTTACTACTCGGTGGTCGTGACGTCACGTGATTACCTCACACACAGGCTGAAACTGTCGAGCAGATATAAAATGCAGGATAACACTATTTATTATACAACCAATGCATTTCATATACATCCACAAAAAAAATCATTGAAAAAAGGTACAATTCATTGACTAAAATCAATATATTTTTCTCTTGAAGAAAAACTTGTGCATTTTGTTTTCTGGATCTTCTTCGTCGTCCCCATCTCATTATTACACAATTCCTCATACAACATAGGAAAACATTACACACCTTTTCACCTCTTAACCCAGGATAACTCCAAATAATTCCACATTTTTTCGTTAATACTCACAACAACCACAATTTCGTTTCACAAAACGATTGCACTCTACTCAATCTAAACATTTTTCTCGTTTTAAAACTATTTCATCAAAAAAGTCACCACAACACTTACACTTATAACCACTTTTCGCTAAATTCACAATTCACAATTTTACATATTACGAAGTTAATACACACACAACACACACACACACACACACACACACACACACCACACACACACACACACCAGCACACACACACACACAACATCCTCACTTTACTTTGACCACGCTTCAAAACCTCTCATAAATCATTTTTGAATACTCACAAAAGAACCTTTTGAACATTTCCAAACACTAAAACATTTTCCCAAGACAAGCCTTTTGAATACTCCCAAAATAAGATTTGACATCTCTCATTTATCACACTTACATATTCATTAAATACAACTCATGGCCCCCGAAACTCCTCCCTCATTCTCCAGATTTTTGTACAACAGTATCACAAAAACTAACTATGGCACTTTACTTTGAACAACACCAACAACCATCAAACTTTTGAATACTCCAAAAACATCATTCTAACACCCTCCAAATCACCAATGAATACTCCCATACTCCTTCAAAAATAACTCTGGCACATCATTTGAACACCTTTAAAAAACACTCTTTGAATAGTCTCAAACACCACTTGTACATACTCCCAAATACACACTGAATACACTTAAACACCACTGAATACGGTCAAAACACCACCAAAATCACCGTTAAATTAAGTCAAATCACAGATAACACCCTTTTCCCCAAATCCCCTCAAATACTATAACCAAGACGTTTTCCAATTTCTAAGAGTACATTTCCCCTCCAACTAAGATAAAACATGGGGCCGAAAAAAAACATGAACACAAACCAAACACACCCAAAAAATTAAACAAAAAAACACCTCTTTTTTCGGATCTTAGTTGGGGACAACAACCCCCCAAAACCCACATCACCCACATCCCACAAAAA